ATTATTCTAAAGCAGTTTAGTCTTCCAATTGTAGCTGTTGAGATTTGGATGTAAGACTAAGATCGCCACCTGTTTATAAACTGGGAAACAATTAACATCCCCTCATGTTGTTGAACTAAAATGTACGGAGAACTGGATTCTGTTTGAAGCTTTCCAGTCTACTGAAAACCACTGATTGGGCTAGAGTAGCATTCAAGGATCAAACCTACAAAATCTCACTGTAGGAAGATGAAAAGAGAGAAAGATTAAACCATGTTGTATCCTGATACTTGGAGTCCTTGGAAAAGTGTTGAAAACAAACAAGCATTGTTTTGAGGAAATCATATTATGCAAAGCAAATAAGGAAAATTGCAACCTGTAGTAGTTCCTCATCAGGGTTAGTCCCCACCTGTTCCCCTAAGGTTAGAGATCTGCTGTCCTGGAAACAGAAGAAAAGGCACAGACAGGAAGGCATTTTTGGCATTCAATATCTGGCCTTAATCAAAGTGGGCAGGGGAAACATCTGGCCTTCAGGTTCCAGATATTGTTGAAATACACCTTCCAGAAGCTCTCATTATCGGCCTTTTCACTAGAGTTGTTGGGAGTTGAACTTGGAGGCTCAAGCTCCCATTCTACTAGATTACATTTTTAAAAAGAATTTTCAAAAGATAGATCCAATATTACTTTTGTAGTGTTGTTTTTTAAAAAGGAGAAAATAGTTGTTTAGGAAAGACTAATCTTAAAAAAAATGCTTCTTATAATGTATTTCTTCTATCACATCAGATTTTAATATACAGCTAAATACACTGTATATTCAATGTGTAGCAGTGGAATGACCTCTGTAATCTAAACTTAAAGGATATACTGTAATATAAAATTCAAGCCATAGTTCACTGAATCACAGACTGTCCTTTGGTTTGCACATAGTTTGCTTGGTAATGCAAGCCAAATCAAGCGATAACTTAAATATTACATGTTCAAAATTAGAACAGAACAGATATAGCAGCAAATTCAGCCTGCCCCAACCTGGTCCTCTCCACATATATTGGGACTATAACTTTGAGTATTCCAGTTATTAGGTTGGAGCAAACTGACTTAAGCCCGAACGGATTAGGTAGCTGATTGTCCTTCAGGAGGCAGCAATGGTGTTCACACACTGTGCAATAATTCAGGCACATAGTTTAGTCTGTTCCAGGTCCCTGTTGTCATTTACAAACTAGAGTTAAGCAAGACATTTCAAAATGGGTGGGGCTAGAACCCAAACTGAGTCTGTATAAAGTTTCTGGAACATTTTACTTTTCAACCGTCCTCCCCCAAATGTTTGAGGCTCTTGGCTTGCTGTAAAAGGAGTTCACAGGGTTCAGATGCAAAATAGATTTTTACACTAGGCAGGATGTTGGATAAAGTGATCACAACATCTCTTCCAACTCTTTCGTGATATGAATTCTATGAATACATTGTATGAATATTCTCTACAACAACATAGCTTTGGGATCCTATGCGGCTCCTGGGAAGATAGATGCCATCTAGTGAGCTCGTGTTCAAAATGAAAGTCAGGTGTGGGGTTATATGGAGCTCTAGTTCACTGCCACTTTAGTACAATGGTTCCTTTTGCTGTATCATAAAATAAATCTAAAACCACAAGCTGTAGACATTCCTACTCGCTGCTTCAGATAGGCCAATCAAAATCGGTTCATACTACAATTTTCAAACGATAAAGAGACAGGATGTTTTTGAAAACATCCAGAGAAATTGCTTTATATTATCATCTAGCAGTTACTGGTTATGATTTGAGAGCACACACATAATTCCTTTTTAATCCTTAACAGCCCGTGTGGATGCAGTGAACCAGGTTCAGAAGGAGCTCATATTCAAATTGGAGTAGTTGGATTAATCAGTCATTACAGTAAAGGCACAACATCTCGCAGCTATTCAAAACTGTTGAGGTCAAACGCCTACTTTACTCTTCTCCCATCTCATGCCTTCAACTTCCATGATTCCCAGCCAGCATGGGAGGCAGTATGAACAACTGATGATGTCCTTGAAGTTCAACCTATTAGGAAGGTACCAGGTTGGAGATGGCTGCTCTATATTTTCCTCAGAAATTTCTGACACATTCTGAGGGCTTGTGTATATTTCAAATCTTTCTTGGCTTGCTAAGTGATAGATATTTAAAAGTAAAAAATAAATTCCAAAATTCCAATATGCTACTTTTCATAGCTATATTCTGTACTGTACAACAAACAACTCCATGTTCCTTACTCCTGAGGAATAAGTATTCTCTAATGACTATGCTAGCTGGGAATTTTGAAAGATGAGCAAATCCATCTAGAGGACACCAGGTTAGAGAAAGTGCAACAGCAATTCATCAAAAAGATCAAGAACAGAAACTGTCTCGGCTGGTTCTAACTGCCTTTCCTATTTCCTTCCTTACAAGGTTATGCTCAGACTGACAGTAACTCTTCAGATGAGATGTTTTGACTAAGAGGCTTCAAGGAGCATTAAGAGATTGCTGACAGCCAGTCATCCTCATGTGATAGACAACCCTAGCAAACTGACCAGTCTAATATTGACAGACAGCTACTTCCTGGGAAAGAGCAATCCAAAAGAAACTGAACCTCTACAGTTTCTCCAGTGATGCCATCTTAATCTTAGAGTCAGATCAAGCTAGATCAATAGTAGGGCAGAAGGTCAAACACAAATCGCTGTGTCTAAATCAGTCTCATGTTTATCACAGTTCCCAACTTTAGGATAGCCTTATCTTTAGATTGATTTAATGTTCTCTCCACAGCTGTCCTGGAAGGGACATAGAAGAAAAGGCCATATGAAATCCAGTACTGCCCCTCTGATACAGGTATCATAGAAACCACAGTTCATGTTCTTCTCTATTGCCAGTTCTACAGTAAATTCACCACTAACTGATTATCCCTCTTTTATTTAAATTTCCAGGGCACTCTGATAGCTTTTTATCTGCACTATTTATTAAAAAAAATCAAAATCAGTTTATTTCTCTAAAAGTCCTAAAATGTTACTGCACTATGTGTAAGCTCCACCCACAAGTAGAATAGAATAAAAACTTTATTGTCACTTCAAATGTACACTAGATCAGCATACATTAAAATGCAATTTTATTGCATTCAGCTTTTTAAAAAAAATACCATTATGCATATACCCACATACACACACATATATATATGACACAGAGAAACATCACAGTCAAGTTGAAGTGTATACATATAGATGGCACAAAAAAAATCCTGCGAATTTACAAGTAGTTACTAATTGTTCTTGTGGTTAGAAGATAGTTTTATGTTGTTCATTTTATTGACTGTACCTTTTATTGGCCAATGACGAAAATAAAGTTTCTGTCTGTCTGTCTGTCTGTGAGATGAGAACTTTGGCACTGTGGGAAATGGTTCTTCTAATGCAAGCAGATGTTCTATTATTTTTAATGTTACATTTTATTTATTAAATGTGGATTCAGCATCTAGATTCAACATAATTTTCAAGATTAAAAACAAAGTCTACAGTATATGTACAAGATGCATAGGTAGAGATACAGGTATAACCATTAAATCATTTTGGAGAAGAACGGCTATGTGGTCAGTAAAGTGACACTGTCTTGATGGCATGTAATCAATCAGTTGCAGACACTAGGTAAACTGGAAATAATAAAGAATGAATCAGATGGATTATCTACCCCAGCACACAAAAGTCTAGCACCACCTTATTCTATAACTGCTACAAAAGTGTGTTTAGACAGTCACCTTATACAAACTTTCTAGGGAGGAAATCCCATTGATCTTAATGGGATTTACTTTTAAGGAGGCATGCACAGAATTGCAATGCTGGAGCATGTTTTATCAATTGCTAAGCTTAGCTAGTCAATTGAATGTGTATCTTTTTTGGGGTGGAGGGATAATCCACAGTCATCCTTCCTGCATTTCCAGTTTAGTCTTAGGCTACATGATCTGTAGTGTGTAGATAGCTGATACCTGGGATAGTCAACCCCCAAGTGCTGTTGGAGTTTCATCCTTATAAATGAATTACTGACCCACTTTCAAGTGGCATACAATTATCTGCTCTTTCTTATATTTTAACTGGAAAAACAATTTAAAGGTAATGCTCCCTCAGCTTTACTTGAGCAATTAAAATCACCTCAAACAAGGCAAACAGACTAGCTGTCTTGCACTGCTAGCTGAGTGGGGGCGTTACCACCCTCGTTTCAGGTAAAAGACTACAGTGAAAAGTCTTGCTTTGTAACCTCTTTTTGAGTTCAAGGTGTGTTTTATAATAGTTTCCTTTTTGAGAACTTCTCAAGCTTATGAAATATCAATATTATTGGAATTATAGGTGGAACTCTGCAAAATACACAACACCACTAAATTTCAAGAAGGTAGAATGCAAGTCTATAGACATTTATCCTAGGAATGCCACGTTTATCTCAACAAGATTGAGCAGACATAAAATTGTACCATCAATGAAACAATATTGATCAATCACTTCCCACTTGATTAGATTAGTTTGTTTTTTTTCCAGAAAGAACGAGAAAACTTTTGTTCACCTCAGTCCTCTACCTTTCCTCCTGTTCCACCTTAACACTTCATAAATAGCAAAGGATCAAAAACTTTCCTTTGACATAAAGCCTACCAGCAGCTCTGCCTTTCTTCCTTTTTTCTTTGCCCAAAGATCCCATATAAAAGGGGAACATATCAGTCATTTTTCATCTAACGTTACCTGCCTCTTCAGAAAAAAGTCACCTGTTTTCCTCTACAGTGCCTGTGCCCGGGGAAACAAAGCAGCAGCTTTGACAATCCTATACACCAGGCTTTTTTTTTTTTTTTAACCACGCTGAAACCAACAGTGGGTGTTTCATCCCACTATATTAATAGTTGTTATCTTTTCAAAACACACAGGGCTAAACCCAGAAGATATTTCTCTCCCCCATCCCCTCCTCCTCCAGCAAGCCCCACTCTACCCAGCTCCCTCGACAGGCTGAGGTTTCTGCTCTGCCTACCTACCTGAGAAGGTGTCCAGTGCAGTCGGTTGGTACTGGTCTGGGTATCCATTTGTTGTGTAGCTGACAATCAGGCTGGTTTTGCCCACGGCTCCGTCCCCGATGAGGACACACTTAATGCCCAGCTCCGAGCCGCTGCCTCGGCTGGGGCAGCTGCTCCTTCGCAAGGTGGGCGAGTAATCCAAGAGCTCCTGGGGCGGCATGGCTTGAGGAGCCGAAAGGGGCACCCTTCGGCTTCCTCTTTTGAAAAGAGGGTACGATTTGAAGCAGAAAATGTTGCAGCTGGACACCGGCTTCTTTTCTTAAACAATTAAACCGAAAGAACCCAACGCAGCCACTTTCAGGGGACGGTGGCCACCTAAGAGCCCCGCGTGGGTCGGGCACCCTTTCCCACGCAAAGCGGCAGCTTCTCTTTCTCTGGGTTACATCGCTCAGGTGTCCCGGAGCAGTGAAAGAGTAGCCAGGACAGGTAGGTTTGTATCCTGGGCGGGAATTTCATCCTCTCCGCTTTCCATTGAACTTCCCAGGTCTGTCAGGTGCTTTTGTTTTTCCTACGGCCTCCCTTCATTTGCATAGGGCCTCCTCCTTTCCCTGTAACTTGAGTCTACTCGGTGTCAGGACTCTGGGCCAAGGCTTCTCCCTTCTCGGAAGAGAGCGCTAGCTAGGTAAGGAAAGCCGATGGGATGAGCAACAACAAAAAAGGCTCCCTGTATAAAGACACAAATATAAAGGGGGCAAGTCTCGGTCGCTCAAAGTCCCAAGCAAACAAACAAGGTTGTTTGGTACGACTATCTCTTTTGCAAGACTATACCTCCAAACTATATGATCGGAATCAGCCTGTCTCATCCTTTTTAAGATGTGCAGATACCAATTCCCAGAATGATCCAACTTGGAGCCCTCGGAGAAGTATGGTTTTTTACAAAAAGTCAAATAAACGAACACTTCGGAAAGTGAGTCATTTGAGACCCGATTCATAAACCTCAATCTTATTTAGTGTTTTTCCCAGCCTTAGCTGCAGTTCCCAGATACTTCCCAACTTTTCTCCTGAGGAACAAGAGGGGCTTCCTTCCATTTCTCTACTTCAGAGTTTCCATGACACAGATGGGACAAAGGTCCTTCTCAGTAATGACAATTTACAAAGAACTGGTTTTAATCCCCCACCATGGTTAAATGGTGTGTTCTTATAATATATATCCTGAAATCTTTTCACAGTTCCATTCAGTCACGGTACAGACTGGAGATACAGGATATTCTTTAACAGATTTTTGCAACTCGAATTCTATAACTCTGGCCATATAATTTTGGCAGCCATGGGCTTCATCTCACCACTATTTGCCTTATCCCCAAGTTATTTTTAGTCAAGATAAATGGTTTGGTTGTGCAAGACATTTGAAAGAGGGATTTTGCAACATGTTGTAGCAGAAATGAAGCTTTCTCTTCAAATCATGAAAGCAGTTGTGCTTTCTGCAAGTTTCTTTGGCTGTTTGTGGAGGTTGGGAGATATGTATGCACCATCCATATGTCCCTAAGGAAAGACTAATCACATCCTACCCACCTAATTTTTGCACAGGAACAATCTGCATGCTAAGCTTATTGCATGCAAATATAATTTGGCATAGTACCTCTGACTAGCACTTCTTTCCATCACAAGATTTATTTGCATAAAGGCATCTCTAAGCCATGCAAGTCAATGGAAACAAGTCTTGTCCCAAGCTGGGCCTTCCTGTTATATTGAAGATGTAGCAGATCACAGTTTCAGGGAACAGACATCATCCATGCGTCCAGCAAGTATGAGGTAGCTACTCATACCAATTATTTTATAATTTAAAACTATGACTAATTTATAAGCATGTATATAGTGTAGGTAGGAGATTTGGGGTTGTGTCCACTGAAGTGCCCTTTCTTCTGTTAGAAGATCCTGGCTGTGATGGAAAAAGGGCTGAACTATGAGGCAGGAAGCAACAATTCTCAGGGCAGAGACAGGTTAATATGGAATAGATATTTCTGGTTCTCAAGGCCAGGAAAAAACAAAAACAAAAAAGAATGGGAGGGAAAGATCTAGGATTTAATTCCTGGGCTGTGCTGCCTCTCACACACATAATGTGCAGATCTTCTGCATATATACTGTATAACTTCCTTCTTGTCTAGAATAAAGCAACTTACCTATCTGTGGAAAGTCTATGAAGCTTCTCCTGTTACTGGATGCAGAGCTGAGCTTTTGAAGAATCAATGAATATTGCTATGCCTGGTTTGAAGATGGACAAGGAGCTGTTGTATTTAGCTACTATTATATTTTCTACTGTGCCTAATTCAGTTTTTTTCCCCACCTCCTGTCCTCCAGGTGTATTAGACTTCAACACCCTCTGGCTATATTTTATCTGTGCTGGTTGAGAATTAATGTACATCCAAGACAGAAAACCATTCCTAACCGTGGTAATGCCAAAATTATAGAACATACATTGTGATGTCATGATGCAATCTTTGCTTTTGGGTACTTGAACTGCAATGTCACTCAAAACATATAAGGGGTGGGGTTTCCATCATGGCTGCACAAAACCTAACCCCTTCTTCTGATAGCTATGCATCTGAAACAATAAGTAGTGGGCCCCTGGAAACAGTCCAAAGATAAAATGCAAATGACTCTGCATGGAAGCTGTCTATCCAGTCCCAGTGGTAGCCCCCAGTTAACTACTGCCCTGTTTAGCAACTGTTTGAACTTACAACAGCACTAAAAAAACCAGTCTTAGCACTTACAATGGTTGCAGCATTCCCATGGTCATGCGATTGCAATTTAGGTGCCTGGCAATTAACACACAGTTACAATGGTTGCAGTGTCCTGTGGTCATGTGATTGTCATTTGCAAGTTTCACAGCTGGCTTCCAACAAGCAAAGTCAATGGTGAAGATGGCAGAAGGTCGCAAGTTGTGGTCATGTGATGTTGCCCTTAATGACCACAGGTAATTCACTTAAATGCTAGCAGAACTGATGTAAATTGGGTGTGCTTACACAATGTTTCACTTAATGGCTGCATCACTTAACAATGGAGTTGCCAGTCCCAACTGCGGTTGTTAAATGAGGAGCAACTATGCTTTTTATAAGTATAAATCTGGTCTGCAAAGTGGGATTTCATTTTTCACTTGCCTTTACCTCAGAATATTTACCATTTTTTTGTTTTCTGTAAAAACAAACTCAAAAGTCACGATATGCAAAGTATAGGAATTCAACTATATGGCTGTTACTCTAATAGTCATACGGTTCAGAAGAAGGCAGAGAGGGGTAAATATGTTGTATTGAACTATATGGTTTACAAACAAGAAAAACCAGAGGAGCAAAAGTTGTTAGTCTTAAACAACAGAGAAGTTGCTCCATAGGTCAACATTTACCTTTATATGACTGATAAAAGGTCAAGATTTATTGACCTATTGAGCAGGATGGCTATGTCACTGTTTTTAAATTTTAAATGGCATCTTTGAGTAAAGAATGGTGACAGATTAAACCAGAGAACTGACCAATTTGCTATCTGCTGATACCAGAATGGGAAATTGAGTAGACAAAGAGTCAAGGATGCAGGTCCCTGATAACTAAGGTTATTGCAAGAGTAACAGAAGCTGTTAAGAATTCCAAGGATTGCCCAATATAAAAGCCCACTTTATAGTAAATGTAAGTCTAATCTTTGGGTCTCTTGGGGGCCTGCTGCCCTGGTCTTTAGTCCTCCTCTTCCTGGGGAGAAGTGTCCCTTGTTATGGTAATGGGTTAGATTGGCTTTGGGCTATTTACCTCTAACCTTGTTAAAACTCACAGAGAGGCTCTACTAATTGTGTGACAGCCTTCTTTATCACAAAGGGTTGTAAAATCTGAACAGCATCCATTGGAGGAGGGTCACCAGACTGTGGCTTTTTTTGTCACTTTGAAAATCCACTGCTGTTGAACATGCTTCACTGGGTGGCTCTAGGCAGTTTACAATGTAAAGCCATGAAAAAAAAATAACATCCCATACAAAATTCACTGCAACAACCAACTATACTCTATACCTTGATTGCTTAGTATTTTCCTAAGGAATACAAAGAGCCAAGAATTTCATGGGAATCAAGCAATGCAGCACTTAACCCACACCCAAATAAGGATAAAATTGTGGCTCTGTCTCAGAATGCTTTGATTCAACACCAGAGATCTATACACTGCTTTTTCATGATCAAGTGCCTTCCAGGTAGCTTCTACAATTCATTAAGTAGAATTTTAGCTTCATATATCTGCAGGGTGGTTTCTCTTTCTCAAAGAAGTCACAGGGCTCTTGATGACTGAATGCTCATCTCCAATCCAATGCAGCTATTCATGGAAGGAAGTCTGCCAGATAAAATCAAGGGAGTGTACCCAGATAGAAGTTTGCGATGTTTGCAATCAGTCAAGGATTAAAAACTTTGTGGGGGGGGGGCTGGGGAGGGGTGGGGTGGGGGGAAAAATCTGGATCTCTGAGAGGCAGCCCAAGAAAGACAATCACAATAGACCTGGTGAAACCAAGGGAGATAATTTCTGGAGATGAAACATGTATCTTCCTCGTCAAGCACATGTTTAATTATTTATTGACCGAGTCAACAAATGCTGATTCATTGCGCACTTCTGACAGCTCAGCACTGTGGGAAAGAAAAGCCAACTCCCTAATTTCAAAAGGAAAATGAAAAACAATACATCCTCTCTTTTCAGTCATGGGTCATTCTGAGAGAACTCAAGATTATGCTGCAAAGAAGTATTGTGTTAATCGGAGATGTGAAATTTTGTGAGCTGAGTGTGACACAGAATTCTAACCGTTAACAAAATAGATACCGTATTGCTGCATTGCCAATAGGTTGACTGGCTCAGGACTTATTTGCCATTTCCAAAGCCCACTGTCCCTGAGAAATAAGCATCTTATCCTCTTCTTCTGTTGCAGAAGTTAAACAGAATAGATCAAACAACTTATCTCTGTGGCAGACGTCAAACTAGAAAATATGAATACTGTTTACAATTTGTTGCCTTGCAGTGAATATTGAATAGGTATTGGCATTGAACAACTGAGCACGTCCACTATGTTCCATTTGTCAGAGACCAGGGAAACGGCTTTCTACTGATTTGCTACCCAATTTTTCTCTGACAGCAAAACAGTAAAGTGTTCAGAACATACTAGCTGGCTTTCATATGCCAGATTAGGTAAAAATGGGGCAGAAATTCCACCACTATCTTAGCAAGTGTGTGAAAGAGATCATTGTGTTAAGCCATACTAAGATGTTGAGACTTTCTAGAGTACAGAGAAGAGCAAAAAAGATGATTAGGGGACTGGAGGCTAAAGCATATAAGGAACGGCTGCTGGAATTGGGTATGTCTAGTTTAATGAACAGAAGGATGAGGGGGGACATGATAGCAGTGTTCCAATATCTCAGGGGTTGCCACAAAGAAGAGGGAGTCAAGCTATTTTCCAAAGCACTTGAAGACAAAGAGTCGATTTTGTGCGAAGCTGAAATTTTTAACTAGTTTGT